CGCTCTCTCCTAGTGGGCAAAGGGGGGGGGCGGAGAGAAGAGTCGCTCAAGAAATCTTCCTCCGCAGATCCTCCGTTTTGCCATTCTGCCTGTTTAATATCGGGCTGACTACTGTGGCCTCTGGTTTAAAGAAGCTTGGTTTGCAATCCTGCGCAAGGTGACTCGGAAGCAGCCAGGCCCTTACTGAGTCACAGTGAAGTGCTCTGGCTTGATCCGTTTCCTTTCTTTAACGATGGGCTGTTGCTTTCAGACGCCAGCACAGATCCAATTCATAGATTTAAAAGAAAGAAGGACTGCAGGCTTTGCAAGAGCATTTCTCTCCCCGCTCCCCGTACAAATGCAAGGAAATCTTTCTTTTTAAACTTACTGCCCCGATCCACGCCTCCACACCCACCCACACACCAAAGTGGATATATTTTTGCTTTTCTCTTGTGCCTTTATTAAAAATACCATTATTGTTTGCTCTGATCTACACTTGGGCTCTACAAAGCACGTTTAGTTCTTTAGCTTCCGTGAGCGATGAGAGTTGCGGGGGGGGGGTTGTCCTAAACTGCAAGAAGCAGCTCTGCAGCCCTTGGCGGAGAGGGGGGCAAAAGGGCACCATCCCAAAGGCTCAGGTCCTTTTCCTTCTGAAGACATCAGGAAAAGCGTGGAGGCAGGACTCAACCCTGCCGCTCACTAACAAGCATTAAAAATCTTGAAACATTGCGTTTATGAAGTTGACTGAAATTCCCTCTCCGAGCCCCTCACTCGACCCACTCACCCATAGGAGTCAACTCCTAGGAGCCGAGATCCCTTGCCCCCCCCAAATAATATTTGAAGGGGCTGTGTCCCCCCCCAAAGTTGATGGGCATTGTCATTCAAATAGTGTGCCTGTGCCGATCATGTGATCGATTATGCAGGGCAGGGCTTACCTGGGCGTCCACAAAATTTTATTCAAGTTGGCACTCCGGCCCTCACCCGAGAACCAAACCAAATCTTTATTACGGTCAAAGACCATCACCTCCATACATGAATAAAACATGCTGGCCCAAGAATGTCCTGGCAGTGAGCAAAGGTGCAAAACCAAGCAGAACTTAGTTCCTAAATAAGGAGCTCAGGCCTGCCTGGAGGCCACACCTTTTGACATAGGAACCCTTTAATCCCGCTGACTTAGGGGAAGGCTGCACTCTGCACATGCTCCAGGTGCGCTCTCTCCTGCGGCTCGCCTGGCCTCGGACGTCGGCTGCTTCCTCGATGAGCCCTGGCTCGAACTGAGGCTGGGGTCTGAAGGTGCAGGCCTCTCGGAGCCCCGGCCTCCGGTTGCTTGCTTGGGGCGCGGCGGCGCGCCTGGTACTTGCCCGGCGTGAAATCCTCTCTTCTTCCTTTCTTCTGCGCTGCCTCCCCCTGGCCGCGTCCCAGCAGAATCCTGGCCATAGGGGAACGAGCACCGTAACTAATTTTCGCTCAGACGCAGGACTCCTCTGGCAGCTGCACCCTGTCGCCATTTAATAACCCGACCGCGCTTCCTTCCCCAGTAATGAATGGGAACGGCCGGCGCTCGCTAACGGAAACCGGGCTCAATCCGGCTGCGGAGCAGAGCCACCTCCTCGGGCTAGATGGAGAGCGTCTCTCGAAAGTGGCGGCGTCGGCTTTTCCCAGAGCGCCTTTTAGCGCACGCACAGATGTCTCATCTTTCTGCTTTGAAAACGAAGGAAAGGGCGGCTGCTGTCCTCTCAAGTGCTTCTCGCAGTTAAGCGGTATAATCGGGTGCCTAAAAGCAGGGCCATTGTCACACGCCGCCTCGCTGCTCCGTGGACTCCTCGGGCTGTGGGACTCTGCGGCCACGTCGGTCCAGAAGGCGAGGGTCGCCCTGGGCAGAGCCAAACCGGCGCTTAGGGATGCCCAGCTGTCCAAATCCCAGTCGGAGTGCAAGAACATCCTTGGTGGGACCTTTTTGACCGGAGGGGAGTAGGAGAGGTGGAGGTGGTACTGCCTGAGGAGCACCTACCAGACTACGCATCCATAAGTTCCTGAGACAGGAAACAGCTAATTGCGCCATTTTGTTTTATTTTATATAAACTGCATTGAACTTTTTGATGGAGCCTGTGATCTTGCAAGTCTGTTGTTCCTACTTCCCATAAACATCTATAACCCGCAGCTGTTACTCATATTATAAACACATAAGATTTATCACTCTGAAGACTGCCATCTTCATTAACCTCCATCCATGCCCTGATTTTAAAATTAGTTTAAGGCAAGTTTATGAAGTCAGCTTCCAAGAGAAAAGAAAATCGATGTTGAACTGGCGTTCTCACGTTGACAGAACAACAGCTAATCCACTTGTGGGTGTGAACCCTGATTATGTGCCGCATAAAGGACAGCAATTAATTATTTAGTAGTAATTAATAGGCTAATTAATCCCAGTGCTTTTGAAATGTCAGTTTAAACTTATCCCACAGGAGAGGTTTTTTCCTTTGGCCAAGGACAAAAAACCTGCAAACTTTTCAAGCAAGGAGGCAAGTTTGCCCCCTTAAACTACTACCATCCACCCCGTCCCTCCCAGGAAGCATTCGGCAGCTATGGTGTAATGGCCCCCGCCGCGCCGCCTGCCTGCCCGCATGCCTGCCCGCGCAGGTCGAATCCCCCCGACGTCCGTGGTGAGGAGCGCCGTGCTGCGCCGGGGTCACTCCTTGCCCGCCTCCTCCGTCCCTGCCTGCTCACGATGGGACGGATCTGCGCTGCCGCCTTTGCCGACGGGGGCTCCTCGTGGAAGCCGGCGCCGGCGGGGGGGGGGCTGGTTGCAGCCCCTCAGAATTTTGCGCTATGCCACTTATTTCAGCACTTAATTCTACAACACTCCGTTCTGCGTTATCACGTAGCTTTTGCCAGCCCTATATATATAAATATTGTTATAATTTTGAAGATTTTTTTTCATGCACGCTAAATCTAAAATCAAATCTTGATCAAATACAGTTTGGGTTCGATTCCAAATTACTATTTAAAACAAAAACAAAAACCCCAATTTCTGTAAACGCCATAGGACTTTCTGATAGCAGTACAGTATCTCAGTCCAGGGTATATTGTACCCTGAATCCCTTCGCTGAAGACTTTGATCTCATAACTCGTGTAAGAAGCTATTCCCTGGCTAAGCTGGTTTCGGATCCTGGGTTGTGGGTCCAGCTTCTATTCGTTTTTTACTTTTTGCCCCCAGCCTGGACTAGCAGAATTACGACCCTGAAGTTTCATAAATATTCACTTCCTAGAAGCTTTTGCCAAGTGACCGGTTTAACAGGAGTGCCAAGTGGAAGCTTTCCAGAAGGTAATGACCAACACAACCCCAGGATGATTTGGCCCCAGCCTGCCCAGCTGCGGGGAACAGGCAGCGTTTGAGGGTAATTAACATATGAAAGTTACTGCCAGGCTTCAGGTGTTCCTGTCTCCCTCGAACAGCACCCACACCCCGCCCCAGGATCCGTAGAGAAAGGCTTGCGCTGGGTAACTTTTGCGCTTTCCCAAAGGCAGAGAGCGGCCAAGGGGGCGGTAGCGCACTCACACCCTTTCCATTGCGTTTATAACCCCTCAAAGTTTTGGTTGGACGCCAATCCAATTACAGTAATTAAAAGGCAGCTCACTGAGATAAAGTGCGGCGACCCAGCGTTCCCTCCTCCCCTCCCTTGGAAATAAAATCGATCTGTCCCCGCCAGAGCAGCGGCCTGACAGAGGTGCAGAGCTAAGGGAGGGGACTGGTGGGAGCGCTCCAGCCCCTCCGCTGCGCTCGGGTCGCCCAAGAAGGATGACGCAGACAAGGGCTTTTATTAGTTTGGATTTTATTATAGGGATATGTAGATAAAGGGAAGGGGGGAGATTTGCCTTACATTTCAACAGGTGACTGTTGCATTAACGGGGTAAATAATCAACTTTACAATTTCGCACTCTCTCTTTCCTCTCCATTCCCGAGAGCAAAGCAGGCCCCAAACGGGTTTTGTTTTTTTGGAGGCGGATGACAGAGTACGCGGGATGTGTCCAGCCAAGGCAACACTAGAGAAAGGAGGACTAGCGTGATCTGCTCCAGGGGCTGCTCCGGTGGCGCGTGGCGCATTCCAACTCCCGCACCCCCACCTACCCCGCTTTTGTCGCACCCTTTACCTCCCCACCCCTCCAAATGCCTCTTTCCCTCACCCCCCTTACCAAACGGGGCATTCCGGTCTTTCCCAACTAGTGGAACCTTCCTCTTCCCACCCGCAAAAATTATCGAGATATAAAAAGACCAAAAAAGTTGCAAGGGAAGTCCTGGCCGGGGAAAAAAGATGAGATGCGCGCGGTTCCTTCGATTTCCTGTACGTTAGGCTCAAGATATTGAGTTCACCTTCACCTCAGTTAATCAAACTAAAAATAAAAAGGGTCTCTGGAACGGACTTAACATTACACTATATACACAATTCCTGCCGTTTTTTGTAATACAATCCTACGGAGAGAACTGGGGGAGAAGAGTCTCCCAAGGAGATTGGGGGGGGGATTAAGGGCTGTACACAGAAGTCTGCAATAGGCATGAAAGCAAAAGGCGCTTCCTCCCTCTCGCCTTGGACAAGAGTGAGCGTTACAAAGCTTACAGCAACATGGCTGGGGGAGGAATCTCGTGTGCGCGCGGGGGGGGGTCTCCAGGGAACATATATGTGAAAAGGAGGAGAACGAATTTAGATTTAAAGTTCTCTTCTGTTTAAAAATAAGAGCAGAATGCGGAACATAATCCCAGACAGCGAATAAATAACACACCAGGAGTCAAGCTGATAAGAGAGAGGCGGAGAGCAGCAGGCCTGATCCAGCAGCCGTTTAGCCGCATCCTTGGTTGCGTGGGAAGGAAAAATAGGCATGCTCTTTGGACGCGGGGTGCTTACACTTTCTTTCCATGTTCTTTAAGTATTTTTTGAAAACAGAACAGAAAAGTGACGATGAAGTGGTCTGAGTGAGAAGAGGCGGTTTGGGGAGCAGGAAGGGCGAGGCTTTGGTGGAGAGCGCGCAGAGACGGGGCGCTGGGCTGCCCCGAGGGAGCTGGGGGGTGGCGGGGCTGCGGGTGCTGGCGCTGCCCTCCTCCTTTGGCTGGATGAAACCTCCCGCGAGCGGCGCCCCTCCTCACAGCACCTGGAAGCGCCAAGAGGCCTGGTCTTTGTAGTCCAGGCAGTCCGGGGAGTTGAAGTTCAGCTTCCAGGAAGAGGCGGCGGCGGCGGCGGCCGGGGCCGGCTCCTTGTAGTCCAGGCAGTCGGAGGAGTTGAAGGCCAGTCCGGTGCCCCCGGGGTAGCCCGGCTGGTGGTGGTGGTGGTGGTGGTGATGGTGGTGGTGACTGGAGCCCTGGCCCAGCGGGTGGTGGGCGTGCGGGTGCGCCGCGCCGGCCATGGAGGAGGGCGCCATGGGGCTGAGCTGGTGCGCGTGCGGGTGCGCGTGCATGGGCAAGTAGGAGCCGCAGTCCACCCCGCCGAAGTAGGAGGAGGAGGGCGGCGGGGGCGGCGGGGGCGGCGCGGGGTAGCCCTGCGCGTAGCCGCCGCCCTGCCCGTAGGACATCGGGTAAGAGGCGGAGGGCGCGCCCGAGACCGAGCGCTGCATGCAGGAGGCGGCCGCCGGGCGCCAGGGGCTCGGGCAGGGCGCCGGGCGAGATGGACGCGGGGCTCCAGATGGACGAGGCGGCCACGGCCGAGGGCGCGCTGCTGAGGGAGGCCGAGGAGGAGGAGGACGAGGCCGAGCCGGAGCCCCCGCTGCCCGCCGGGTTGCCCAAGGCGGCGGCCCCGCTGGCCGGGTTGCCCGAGGAGTTGGAGCTGGAGGAGGACGACGAGGCGGAGCTGGAGACGGCGGGCGGCGTGAACTGGCCGCTGCTCTCCGAGCCCGAGCTCTCCCGCGCCGGCGACGCCTTCTTCTTGGCCGGCCGGCTCTTGGCGCCGCTGCCGCTCTGCTGCTGCTGGCGGCACTTGGCGCGGCGGTTTTTGAACCAGACCTGCAAGAAAAAGAACAGAAAAGAAAATGGGGGCGGGGGGCGGAACAGGCTCTTCCACGAAGAAGGGACCCCCCCACCCCCGCGCTCTGCCACCCAGTCTCTTCCCCTCGCCCACTTTGGCACACGCTGTGTGCTCGCAACGAAAGAGGAAAGTGCCAAACAATCTCAATCTACGCGGAATGGTGCGGGGGGGAAGAGGCCGTTTAGCAGCTGTCCAGGTTAGCCTATCATCCTCCATCACTACACAATGGATCTACACATCCATTGCCGGCTTCCCCCTCTTCCTACCAGGGGTAATCGGGAGCCACCAGGCTCTGGCTCAGCGCGTTCTCTCTCGCCAGTCTCCGCACACTGTTGCGTTCATGTGGGGCCGCGAGAAAGGGAAGGTAAGTCGCTGGTGCGACCCAGAACAGAACCCAGCTAACCAATTCTGGGCGACTCTGGAACCCCACGTAGCCACCACAAATCACACCCTAGCCAAAACACCCCCAGACTCGGCACCCGCCTGGCATGACACCCACCTTCCGTTCAGGTGAATGACGCAACCCATCATGGTTTGATCAAGTTTCCCCCCTAGCCAACTTCCATCCTCCCCCCAGAAGCTTCTGCAGAGAGGGGCTGCCAGTCCACCCACATCCATAACGTCATACTATCAAAAAGTAGGAAAGGGAGTGGGTGTCTGCACCAGTTCCACCAACACAGCCCTGTCCAACCAATCCTCCTTATAGCCATTTATAAATTAAGCTGGCAGTCCAGCACCTCATGCACCTTCTACTAGTAACACCCAATAGAAGCAGGCAATGAGCCAGCCATCAGCGTAGGAACATGAGAAGCTGTCTTATCCCGAGTCAAACCTTTGGTCCAGCTAGCTCAGTATTGTCTACACTGTCTGGCAATGGATTTCCAGGGGTTCAGGCGAGGATCTCTCCATTCAGAAACTGGAGATTTAATCTGGGATTTTCTTCTCCTAAAGAATGCACTGCTACAGAGCTCCTTGCAGCTCCTTGCCCAAAGGATTGCTATTAAAGAATCCTATTAGCTAGAGATTTTATATATAGCAAAAATGTTAAATCCATCCCTCCACCTGTCCCTCTCAAATATCTAGCAAGGAGGATTCATCTGCACCCAACAGGCAAATGCTAGATGTGGAGAACTGCACCCCTAATTAAGCATCCGTCCAACAGAACACAGTATTCTCTTTCCCACACCATTCTACATTCCCATTCTACGGAGAGAGGGAGCCATTATAAGGTTACCAGACGTCCCCGTTTCCCAGGGACAGTCCCCGGATTTACAAACCAGTCCCCATACAAAATCCATTGAAGTTGAAAAGTGTCCCCAGATTCATTTTAAAAAATCTGGTAACCTTAAGCCTTAGGAACAAAGTTCTCAGCCTGTTCCGTTCAACAGCACCCAGCTTGGCCTCCCCACTAAATATATATCTAGAGCTATCATCTTAATATACCCTGCTTTATACTATCTTTTAGGAGACAGTATAACTCTCAGCATACCCAAAACAGAAACCATTCCCTTGTTGCAGAAACACCCATCCCAGTACATAGCATCATCAGTATCCTTTATGATCAGTTAAGAGCAAGCCAGCGTTTTTACTGTGTCATTCCTTATCCTTCAACCTGTAAGACTAGTCAACAGGTAGCATTCTATCCTGTTACTACTGTCCACTGTCTACTCTTCCTTTTGCTCATCAGTCGGTCAGCTCCCTCATCTACATCTCCAAAAAGTCTAAGACAATCAGTATCCTGCATCCTTTAGCAAGCTCCTAGATAAACTCTGCTCCACCAAACTACATGGAATAAACATGAACCAAATCCATATCCAACCAAAAACTATCCTAACAGCCACTGCTTTAGTGTAGACTTGCCCAGCTGAGTCTATGGCGTCAAAAGGCAAGGAACACCACTCAGTGCTGTCAGTATGAAAGGATATCAGCATGAGACAGTTGCCACCAACATACTGAAGAGCAGCCAAATGAGTCTTGTTTCCCATTATTATTACTTATGCAAGGTCGTCTCATCAATTCAACAGGTTCCTTCACACTTTACCAGCCAGAGTTCTCATCTTAACATGAGAAAATCAAGTTGTAACCAGCATAACATCCACCTGTCAGTGCCAAGGACGTACAGCCCAGTCACCACCCAGTTGTATTAAGTGCTCTGTTACAGCCAGTCCTTCAGTGAAATTCCCAGTAGAGTTTCAAGACTGTGTCACGTTGATTACCACCTACATATCATTTCACCAACTGTCTGACAGTGTGATGAGCACAGAATTTTTGAAGTTAAAACAGTTTGCTTCCAGGACTTAGCTGCCTTAACACCATCGTAATCACAGTCCACTTATCTATCCTTTATATGGAAACTCAGTTCATCTTATTATCTGACAGACAAGATGGAGCACCCTTAATCACTTTGTGGGAACTGGAATTTCAGTGTAGCAATCCAAGTCCAGAGAACCCATAGTATGGAATTCAGAATGGCTGTGATTCTCACATAAATCCCTCCCCCCGCCTCCCATACAGGTTATCCTTGTGATATTTGGTAAGCTTTTATGAATCTCAGCCTCAATCGCTAAAATTTTAATCATAGATTCTTTTTTTGTTAAGTAACATGCCACATCAGCTAGTAGCTATTTCACAAATACAATAACAGTATAGGAAACAGACTTAATTTCAAGTATGTTTGCATTGAACCTTGATCAGAGTAACACCCTTTCCAATAGGTGCTTTACCACTGCAAGTCCCAGTGAGTTTCCAATAGGGCTTGCTCGTAGGTAAATAAATACATGTAGGAACAGATCTTGGAGCCATTTTAGTCATTAATAGTGTCCTACATACATAGCTCTCTGTGATCAATTATGCATAGTTGTACTTCACTCCATTTACATGTAGTAAAACACAGCCTGCCCACATAACATGCATGCATGCATTGAAATGCAACAATGACATGCACTTTTTAATTCCTTTCTTTTCCAGGTAAATGCTTTCCATGTAGAAAACCCCTTAGGTCTGAACTGACCCTCAAAGAGAAAGAGGACATTGACCAGATAATTAGCAAATAGGAAGAATCTCACCTTGCACAACAGAGGTGTGGTTGCATTTTCATTACAGGTATATTTACAGTTCTAAAGAGCAGCCTTACGGCCTGTCCTATCTAGTCACTAACACTAATACAGCAAGGGAGGTATGGTCAGGAAATGGTCTATGACCTTGCCTCAGCAGGCTGAAACTGAATCCCTCCTCTTCCATGGGTTGCCAGAGGAAACCCCTGAAAGAAGCTCTAGCCAGATGAAGCTGGATTGCATAAAGGATGGCAGGCTTGGTGTGATGCCAAGCCTAGCTAAGTGGGGCTTCCCCAGAGTTGTGTAGACTGGTCAAAATCTTATTAGCAAAACTTTGCAAATGCAAAATAATAAACACCTCTCTGCATCAAAATGTTCAAAATGGAACTGGCTCTTTTGGACTCCTGTGAAGGAGTATCTGCTCTCCACTCTAGCCTGCAGCAGCTGCAGCCGCATCCAAATTAGCAGAATTTAGTTCTAGAGGTGCCCTTTGTTGACTGCTGGGGATCCATCTGGAGGAAAGTGGACTTTAGGGAAATAAAGGTTTGAGAAATCTGAGCTCAAAGTGCATTTAAAAAAGATTTTCTTCCTAGGATTCTGACTTGAGCCAAGGTGTGTACGCATACATACCCACACCCAATCCAAACACAGCAACCTGAAGTCTGGCAAATTAGCGTCTGCCTGCTCCTAGTCTTTTGGAATAAACAAACTGAAAAGCAAACCCTCATATATGGCAAAGCCAGTGTGTGAGTTTCAAGTCAACAACTGAGCTTAAGATGCTACAGGAAAGGGAAATGTATGTGTGGGATGAGGTGGGAAGATAACAAAACAAAAGCCTCACATAGCAAGTGGGTCACAATGTTTATTTTACTAGTCCTGTGGGAGTCAGCTGAACTACCTCAGGATCAACAATGCCTCTTCAATGGGTCTGCACTAGGGGTGCCTGGGGCGGAGCTTTTTTAAAGAGGGGACACAGCAGCACCCAGGGACACCCAGCAGCCCCCATGCCGCCCTGCAGTCCCTCGTGGCGCCCGGTGGAAAGAGACTTCAATTGAAATTAACGTGATTTTTCCTTCCAAGAAAGGTAGAAATCACAACAAATTTAAGTTGTAAAGAAGTCCTAGTGAGAGACTTCCAACTAATAATGTTTAAGGTTCTGCTCTAAGTGTATTTAGGATTGTCTTGATTATAACACATATTTACTTGGTAATATTTTAAGGAAATTTGCTCCAAATGTGCCTGGGGGAGGAGACCTTAAACATACTGAAACTGATTTTAATAGCTTCTATTGTAAGCTATGGCTCCCCCTTATGCTCATGGGGTTGCAAGGTATGAGGAACATACTGGCATATGTGGTGGGGATGTAACTATGTAAACAAGTTCTGGAATTAGGCGGCAACAGAAATTAGTATTATCATAGACAAACAGGTCACTCTGGGCTCTCAGTTATGTCTTTTATCTATTTTTGATGGTGCCAATGCCAATCTTATTTGTAAACAATTCATTTTATATTTGCTGCTTGCTTAGTGGTTTCTCAAGGGTGAAAGGACACATCTTGCTACTCTTTGGACTCATGGTTCAAAAATGTTGTGTTTATTGTCATTTATTAAAAACTGACTCATAAGATACATGCTTCCAGGGGCGATGCAGACTCCTCAGATTTTGCATTGTCTGGTCGTTGTTCATTATTTACATGACCAAACAACTCATGGTTGCCACACTCCTACTCAATATGATTTTATCTGGTGATGTTTATGAATACTTAATATATTTTGCATAAAAATGAATCCTGTATCCCACCATGGAATATCTTTTATGCTATCCATTCTCTTTATTTAGCTCTATTACCTTATATTGTATTTTCATTCTCTTTGCCCTTATGACATTTTATGATGCATTTTAGTTTGTTGTTTTGTTTATTGAATTGGCAATTTTTTAATTAAAGTTTAGATTTAAAAGGTAAAAAAACCAACCCTGATGAAAATCAATGGGGTTTAAACAAATTACGCACAATCCAACAAAAGTCAGTCACACTTTAAAATTAAAAAGCTATGCGTATTTGTTTGATCTCAAACCCAAGTGAACTTGGTGGGCATCAGTTGGATCTAACTTTGGCTGGAGTGTGCCCATTTATCTGTGTTTAGGATCGGGATTGTTAGCCTCCTGACTAGTGAGAAGGAGAAAACAAGTCAATAGAGAGGGTCCAGCTAGTCCTTATATAGCCAAGGGAAATCGGACCTTGACGCCAAACGGAGGCGGTTGTTCAGACTCCAACAAGCGGCTTCAAAGCTCCTAATTGTGAGACTTTTGGTTATATAACTTAAGCGCCGAAAAGTTATTTCGCTCCAGCATTGGCGGGTAAGGAATTTTAGCTGCAGTTTAACAAGAGAGGCCTAGTTAGGTGCGAAGTCAGGGAAGATATGGCCACACAAAACATGAGAAAAAGCCGCAAATTCAAACAAAGCGAACGTTCCACGCGTAAAGTCCTTTCCCGTTTTGGAGCGCGCCCCGCCAAGGGGAGAAGAAAAGCCCCATCGCCCCCCGCCCCGGCCTTTCCCCGCCCCAGGCCAAGCCGCCCTTCTGCCCCAGCTCCGCTGCTTTCCCAAGGGCCATCGGACCTGGACTCTGGACTCCGGCAGGTTGATTTTCAGCGCCACTTCTTCTCTCATGAAGATGTCCGGGTAGCGGGTCTTGGCGAAAAGCGCCTCCAAGACGTCCAGTTGCGACCGGGTGAAGGTGGTGCGCTCCCTCCGCTGCTTCCGAGGGGTGGCTGCGGGTCCCGGGACAGAAAGACAGGGGGTATTTAGGACCCGAGTCGGCATGGTCAAGATCCGCCCCCGCCGCCCCTCCCTCCGCCACCCCGGCCCCCGCTTCTGGATGGGGAGGTGGAGGAGACGCGCGCTCGCCGCTCTCCAGTCCAGCAAACGAATCAGGAGGGGGGGCGGGGGAGGCACAAAGAACTCCAAATCGCAAGGACAGCTCCGGATATTTTTGAAGGCGCATAAATATAAACACAAAGCGTCTGTTGGAGGAGGGGAGGGTGAGAAACTCTGCGGACCACAGGGCAGCTCCCGGGGAGGAGGAGGAGGAGGGGAGGGAAACGCAGACGGCAATTCTATTCGGGTTGCAGACTGAGTTTCCTGAGCGGCCTCCGTCGTAAAAGAGCAGCTCACTTGAAGTTTTGGGTCTCTTGGCGACAACCCAGTTAAAATGGAAGTATCTGTACTTAAATAGATTATTTACAGCCCAGTCATTTAAATAATTTTTAAAAAGAACTTTAGTTGGACATAAGTTCCAGGGAAGACCTTAGGTCTTGAATCCTCCAAGTAAAGCTGCAATCCCAGGTATAATTTACTCCGCAGTAACTGCAGCAGAATTAAATTGGTGCTACTTTGCAGAACAAACACGCTTTTTGGAATTACGGTTTAAAGCTGCAGCCCTGGAATGGGAGCGAGTTTCACTGAAGTCAGCGGAGGGTTACCTCACAGTGAAAGGCCGTAGGATTGGGCTGCCTGCGCATTCAGGGTCAGGAGAACTCAAGCATTTCTGAAGGACAGAGAACTTCTTGAGCTGGGGATAGACAGCACTTTCTCGCATTATATGCCACGACTTCCGGCTTAACTGGGTTGTGGATCAGGCTATAACAGCATTTGAAAAGACACGGGAAACCCCATTAACACCCCATTTCTTCATTTCTCAGCAAACTCATCCGTGGGGGCGGGGAGTACTGTGGAGTTATGGACTCGGGGAAAAGAAAAGATTGGCTTCTAACTTCGGATGGGCAGCCCAAGTTCGCAATCAAAGGATTTCACCCCCACCCCCAGTTAGTTCTCAAGCACGAATAACCTTAGGAGAACTAACATTTCAACGTGTTTGTATTTGGCTTTAGATGTATCCCTCAAAGTGCAAGTAGTTTAAACACACATTTGTTTTATTTGTAATATTGTCAAGGCACACACTCCAACGACAACAAAAATAAATCGGGTCTTAAAAAGCAAGTCAAAATCTGAAACTTGGCAACTCACACTTTGGACAGTAAACATTTTGCTAGCGTGCTCCCCATTGATTATAATTAGGGACTAAATACCAAATTACTAAATACCAAAATACCAAATACCAACCTGTTTAAAGGCTGGCCTGGGGTGCCATGAGAAACAAGCATTTTAACATTGAATTAAACGCCAGGAAAATCAGCAGTGTTCACTTTCCAATACAGGGGTAGTTTAGGATACCACAGGTATGGGGGTGATAATAAGAGTGGATAATTCAGTTCTGGAAAATGGTTTTGCTGACCTCGAAAAAAATAATATGATCTATCAAGAGCTTTATCCATAGGCTCTCTTTCGCCTTGTAGAACCTCTAGAATAAATTGAGGAACTATTTTATTTCAGCCGCATAAATTAAATACGAGGCTGCTTGGAGGGGCTCGATCTGCCTGGCCAATAATCAGTGGGTCGAAGCAAAAGAGGTTGGTGCTGCTCACCCGGATACCCCACGGAAGGGTGGAGAAGATCCATCGCAGGTCCCGCCAGCCCCAGCCCATTCATGCCATAGGGGGGCTGTTTGAGGTAAGACATCATGCTAAAAGCTGGAAAGATTTTTCCAATTTATCCACACACAATTAGAAATGTTCTTTTCCCCAAAAGGCGTGTCTTAAAATTCTTGGTTTGTTCGTGGTTTTTTAAAAAACATATAATAAAAAATTAAAAGATTGATTCTTCCAAGGAGGCAGCTGAAGGAAATCCCAGGGGCAGGAGAGCCTCTCACTGCAGTCTGCAGGAACAAAAAAACACACGCACAAGACAGAGAACAAGGCAAAACATCAGTTTTTCCCCAAGTTTCCACACAAAGCGCGCCTATTTTACTTCCCTCCCTCTGTTTCCCTCTCATTTATTTGACTTTCAGATAAAGTCAAGCTGGAATATAATTTTATATACAGCTATGGCAGATCCTAACTAAGGAAAAAAACAAAACCCTCTCAAATGCGCAAGGAGGGAAGTAAAGCCATGGAAGACTGTCAATTTAAAACAAAAAAGTGGCGAGGGGTTTCTTCCAAACACCTGGTCCAGGAGTAAGAAAACTTGTACTCGGAGTTAGGCAAGATTAGGTCTTAAAAAAGGTATACATGCACATACACACTCCGTATAAATAGGGCTTTTTAAAGGACAAAAGTCAAGTCTCTCCGTCGCACACAAGATGGCGGAAATTCCCCCCACCCGCCAAGAAAAGGGGGGAAGTGGAATCAGAAAGTGACAGAGAGTGAAGAGGTGTAGCCGGGTGGTGGAGTGGGAGTGGGGAAGGAGGTCTACTCCCCCCCCCCAACTTTTTTTTAAATAACTACAGCCATATTGCCATACAATCGCCGAGGGGCTTCCAGGGGGTACAATACTCCGTGATGAGGGAGATAAAGCAATTATTTAAAAAGATAATTGGATTAAAAATCAAAACGAGATACCAAAAAAGGGGGTAAGTATAATTAATTTGAAAGTGGGGAGAAAGAGACGCTTTAATTAGAAATGGCTAATGGCCTAAAAACAAACAGATTCCAGGAGCTGCTTTGAAATTCACGTTCCAAGGCGCCCCCCCCCCGACTGACGGAAGAGCCGCGGAGGAAGGCAAAGGAAGACGACACAACAAAGTTGCCTAATTCTCGCATTCATTTCGGGTGGCGGAGAGTAGCAGGATCCTAGGCCCTTTTACTAAAGTAGTAAAGTAAAATTTAGGCCAACGCAAACTGTCTTTCAACTACACGAGTAAGGATGGTGCCTTATATACCCGCAGAATCCCAGTATAGGCAAAACATTCAAGGTGCTGTAGCTGTTTTTAATTCTACAGCCCCTTAAAAGTTTTGCTGTGGTTCCTCGAAGTTATATAATTCCAAGGATTTATAAGAGGGTTTGGGGGGGATTTTGTAGGCATTTGTTTATTATTATTTTTTCTCAACTGAGAGAAACAGATATTTAGGTAAATTTTCCCATGTCCAGATCCAGCAGGTTCATTAGCCGATGGATTCGGCCGGAGAGATGCACAAACAATAAGTTAGACAACCCAAGCAGATAAATAAAATAAAATCCCACATCCCGCAGCAGCAGATGGTGGTGGCATTAACCTCAATTAATTATTGGCCAGAAACCTTAATTGGACCGCAGGCCATCCTGCTTTCAAAACTTATATTTATAGCAGAAAGATTTCAAAACCAAACTAACTAACTAACTAACTAACTAACTAACTAACTAAGAAACAAGAGCAAGAACTATGAAGTGGGATTTAAATTTAAGTTACTAATTTTTTCTTAGGCTGTAAAGGCCGATATATGCCAAATTAATTTAAGGCATTCCACACTCTTAAAACTGATGAACCTGTTGCTGTTTCCCTTAAGTTTGGATTTGCTTTAAAGTTCTCCTTAGTTTGATTTGAGAAGGAAGGGATTTCTGCCTCTTCACGCGATTCAGAAAGTGAAAAGAAAGTCCATCTGCTTGACTTGAGCAGGCTGCCGTCCTGAGTGAACTGACAAGATTAAGGGCCTTTGGAAACCCGTGCGGTTTCCTTTAGAGGAAATAACATTGGGATCGGGCCTTAGACTTAGCAAAAACTTCAGGAACACGGAATTTTTTTGTTTTGTTTTGACTTGGAGGATAGTTCTCTTCTTCCAGCTCTACTTGCTTTAAAGTTTTCAAGACTGCAACTCTCTGAAACATCAACACTTTTGCTTATTTATTTCAGCTGCAATCCCCCCCCCCAATGCGTTTTTCCGCGATCGCACTTGAATAAGCCTTTCAAAATATCTCCTAAGCAGCGGCCCGCTCAGCGCCTTTCCTTGGGCGCTTTTAATTTCAGGAAAGGAGAGTTGGAGCGAGAGATCTTCGAAGGAGGCCCAGGGATCCCGAGAGGGATCTGGCCAGAGACCCCGGAGAAACCAAAGGTCCTCCCGGACGGGCCCCGCGGCAGCGAAGATGCAGGAAGGCAACATTGCAACAGAACAAAAAAAGTCGACTCCCGACCTGGAGAGACCGAGAGAGGGGAGTCCCCCTCCGGAGCTCAGCCGCCCCTCGCCCAGCAGTTTTCGGGGGGCTGCCGGTCCCCCGCCGGGCGCGGAGAGGCGGCCCAGCGGGAGAAGGTGTCCAGAGGGAGCGGGGGCGAGGGGGTCGCCCGGCCCGAGAGAAGCCGGCCAGGGCCCTCGGGGCCCCGGGAGCTCCAGTCGGGGCGAGCCCGATCCCCTGGGCTGAGGCGGGACGGCGAGCGCGGCGGAGTCGGCACCTGAGGGAGCCAGAGGGGCGCGCCAACTTCGCCCTCGGGCAGCGGCGGAGCCCCGGGCGGCGGAGGCAACTTTCGCGGGGCAGTCGGAGTTTCCTCCGCGCCGAGAGGCTCCTTGGCCGGGCGGGGAAGGGGCTTCGGGGCGGGCAGGGGAGGGAGGCGAGAGTCCGGCCGAGGAGGAGGAGGAGGGAGAAGCCCGCGAAGGCAGCGCCTTTTTACCTTGCCGAGGTGGCGTCTCGCCCCGTCCCTTCGCTGATTGGCAATGGAGCCCGACGAAGATTGATCACCTTTCCGCCGCCCGGGCCGGGTAGGTGAGCGCCAGGCGAGTGCGTAGCCCGGCCCCGCCAATCCCCGCTCTCGCCGCCGCTGAGTGACAGCCGCCCGGGCAATGGCAGCGCGGGACGAGGAGAGCTCCCTCGCACGCCCCTCCCTCGCCAGCCCGGCCCGGCCGCGCGCGCGCAGCCCCAGCCCCAGCCCCGCGCCTCCTGGCCGGGCTCCCTCCCTCGGGGCTCCGCGACGGACTCCGGCTCCCTCCGCCGGGGACTCCCCTCGAAGGCCGGCCGGCCGGCCGGGGGGGGCGGAGGCGCGCAGGGCCGCAGGGGACTTGCCGCGCCCCCTCGCCGCGCACTTGCCGGGCGGCCGGAGGATGCCCTCTCCCCGGGGCGCCCCTTCCGCCCTCCGCTCCCAGGCGCCCTTCTCCCCTTCGTCGCCTCCTTTAGATCCGAGCCGCGCTGCTCTTCCGCAAAAGAAAGTTTGCTGCGCCGGATCTCGGGCGCTCCAAGAGCGCGCAGGTCCCATTCATTGCGGATTTCCCGCGAGGGGGACTCAGCCGGACTCCGGAGTCCCGAGTTTGGCCTCTGACCAGGCCAGATGGACCCCTCTTTCCCGCTCTCAATTCGGGGAAGGCAAAGGAGGTCCAAGTGGGTGTGTAGTTAAACCAGTAGACGCCTCGATACATACATCTCCACGGATTACTTCGGTTCTCTAATTCCACAGGGCAAAAGTCGAAGTAGCAGCAATTCTAGTACAGGCTGCGGTGGGGGGGGGGAAAGTGTGCGCCAGTCCCCCCCCCGCCCATTTTTGTGCCGTATGGATCCCACCAGTGACCTGCGCGCCCCTTTGCTTGGGCTTCTCCAATCTGCGCGTCGCGCGGCTGCTGGAAACCTGTTGCCGGCCAGTTGCCAGGCGGGCTGCGCGCAGCAGCCTCCGAAGTCCGTCTCTCGGGGACCCGGGAGGCGTCTCTCGGACTTGGTAAGGAAGTGTCTGAGGCCGAGGAGGACAGCTTTAATAAAACATAATCCGAAGTGAGCTCCGAGTCTAAGTGTATTTGTGGAACAGTAAGTGCCCGCGAAATAAAGTAAATTTGCTCCCAACGACCTTTTGCTAAGAGTGTTACACAAAAGTTCAAAGGCCGTCAGTGGGTCCTCCTGCCAAGTAAGTTTCCTGAGGATGCGGACATAAGCATAAACGTTGTTAAAATGCGCAGATGGCAGCCCAGATTAGTTATATCTATACCTACTCTATATCATATTCTACAGCGCATTTCAGTTGTTAGTCGCCAGCCTGCATACGCGCATCCATCCACAACACCCACCTTCTAAGCGCGCCACGTCGAGGGTATCTAGTTCATCATCATAAATATTAATAGACACGAATCCTTTACAAAGAATTATTTCTTCCCCCTTTTTAAAGGAGAGAAGTTTTAATAGAAAAAAAAACTTCTGAACATACAAAGAGTAAAGTGAAAAGGAATTATAATCATCATCATGCTTTTTTCAAAGGGGAAAGAAACCCTCGGAATCAACTGGTTGCTAACAAACTGCATGAAAGCGAGGTCAGGAAGGGATTGGTGGCCGCCGCTTCAAAGTGAGGGTTCTCTAACCCGCTGCCCCCGCTCCGCTTTCCCCTTTTTCCGTGAGACACTTTCCCTTTGGAGTCCCAATGAAACACGGTAACAGAATATGAGGGAAGCACACTGTTTCTTTAACTGCTTCTCAAAGGATCCGGGAGATCTTCTTAGGACCTTTAATAAGGCTTTGGTGCGGTCCTTTTGTTGATCTCTCAAAATCAACTCCTTCTAATTGAAGCTGGAGCTGAAAGCGAGCTAATGTTCAAAGGGAGTGACCGCCACAGTCCTGGCGAAATTACATTTTTCCCCCATTGAGGGGGACATCTAATCAAAGTGGACTGGCGGAGAGGCGAAAGAGAGGGAGAGAGGGAGAAAAATGAGGTTTACAAGATCCTTCTATAGCCCACAAAAGTCAGCGACACGGGCACTTCTCCTCAGAACAAAAGCCGCCGCAGCCCATTCACAAAAAGTAGAAAGATGGGGCAGGCAAAAGAAGGGGGGGAAGAGGAGTGGAAGCGGGGAGTTCTCGCTGGGACCAGTACCTTGGCCAAAGTATGGGAGACCATTATCCACGGGGGACCTCCGAGCTTTGTGGGGGCTCTTTTCTTCTTTAGTGTCAGTCTCCAGAAATAGCCCCATCAGTGGATTATGGAACGGAGTCAGAATAGGGGTCCTTCTGCTCACCCCTCCTCAAAATTCAGAATTAGCTTTAATCTCCCCTTTCCCTCTGTAATAAAGCAGATTGTGCGGGTGTGTGTGTTGTGTTGTTTTGTTGTGTTGGGATCCTGATGCTGAGCCGGGCAGGCAGATTCCTCAGGAACGTGTTCCTTTGGCCTCCTCTGGCAGCCTCCTGCCTCCGTCTCCAGCTTCGGATGATGCGATCAAGTCTAGTGAAAAGCTCAGAGTATCAAGTAGCACTAAACCCCTACGCCTTACTTCTCTCTCTCTCTCTCTTTCTGTGTTTCCCCCCTCCCTCCCCCTGTAATAAGAGTATTTGTCTAATCCCAAATTGCAGGCGAATTTCCTTAATGCTCAGCCCATAAAACCCATGGATTAAGGGCAGGAAAGGGGGGCACGAGGAACTCTCAGAGTCAGGGAGACACGGACACAAAAAAGTTTAGTATGTGGCGGGGGAGACGCGGAAGATGCGGGTCTCGCTATTTTTCCTCTCTCTCTCCTGCAAACCTTCAGGTGCGGAGAGACTAAACCGGCAGCGGTCGCAGACTCGCAGGAGGAAGCCGAGGCGATCTTGGCCGCAGGTTCGGGGCGCGCAGAAAGGCGGCCCAAGGCTCTTTGCCTCTTTCTCGAGACACCCGCTTGGAAAGAACTTCTCCAGTCCGGCGCTGCTCCCCCGCCCCGGCCTGGTCGGCACCTTTGGGGAAGCAGCTGGCGTCGAGCAGGGGCTCCCACTCAGGTGGCCCTAACTTGGCAGGCGCAGGTAAGGGAAGGGAAGGCGCCGCAGCGAGACGAGAAGACCGGGGGGGGGGCAACAGAGGCGTGAGAGCTGGAGATGATGGTCGCCGCCGTCCTGTGGTGGGTGGGGTGATCGTGCATTTTGGAGGCAAGGGTCCCCAGGCGAGGGGGAAAGGGACACACATCCATCCATCCATCTCTCTCTCTCGCCTCGCTCAGCAGCCAGCCTGCCTCTTGCGCGCAACTCTGCATTTCCAAAGTTCAGCTCCCGTTTTACGCGCTAGGTGTTCCCTGCTGCTTTGGTGTTCGTTTTGTTTGGATGCAAACGCCTACTAGTTATAGCTCCGGGAAAGAGGCAGGAGCCTAAGCAAGAGGTTTTCTCGTGAGCGAAGGGTTTCCTAATGACTAGAGTTTTAGGATGGACTCCGGATGGTGGAGAGCTCTCCCCGCTTTCGAAGGCAGTCCAGCCGCTTGAAAGAGAAGGAAGTGGCTGTGAGTCCCGGCAGGAGGGCCCAGAGCCGGGGCGAAATAAGCCCCCCAATGCCGGAGGGGCCACACCAAATCTGAGCCCGAAAGTTACCTGGAAGCAAAGTTCCAGGGAGTCTGTGGCACTTCCTTCTCCAAAGGATTGCTTTTCAGGGACTTGTGGGGCTGTGCAAAACTCGTAGCTCGCTTTCCTCTCATCTCCCTCCCTCTCAGGGTATCTAGAAAAAGTTTTCCCAACTGTGAATTTCAAAGAGAAGCCAACGCCAAAAGCCAGCAGTTAATAAGCAGAGCCTCTTCCGAGGAGAGTTAGGGGTTCAGTAAAGAACCCCCGTTTGTGCCAACCCCACCCTTTCCCTTCAGCCCTGGAAAGCCTCACCAAGCAAACCCCATTATCCGGGGGCCCCTTTCAGCTTGGCCAGGGACAGGCCTGGCTCCCGGGGTCAGCTGAGTTTCCAGCCGGGTCCCTGCAGGGCACCGCCTTCCTGCCCGCGCACTTTCACCACCCCCGCCAGAAAGCGGCAGAAATCCCTCCCGCCCTTCGACTTGTCCTACGCGCAGTCCGGCGAGAGAGGCCAGGAAACCCAGGCAGCGCCCCAGGGCCGGGAGAGGAGCTCACCGCCCAGCCCCGCAAATGAGCGGGCGTCGGGCTTCCAGGCGCGCATCCTGACCTGGAGGCTGCGGGCCGAGCCCGCTTTGGGCGCCGCCGGAGGAGCCGCGCGGCAGAGATGCGACCAAAGAGGAAGGTCGCAAGCGGAGCAGATTGCTGGCCGCAAATTAATAAATTCTAACCTGACTCTCGCAAAGCACCAAAGCGAATTAACCTGCATTATGACAAACAAGGAAAAAGGTCTCCCCCTTCTCTCTCCCTCTCGGCCCAAATTAGCCGCGGCTTTTAAAGGCAGACGGTGGACTTTGTTAGCTTTGCAGGATGGCAAGGAAAAAGGCTTGGGGAGGGAGGCGGGAGAGAAGGATTGTGGGAGAAAGAGAGACTTGGAAAGGGGGAGGAGAGACGGGAACCGAGGGAGGGTGGAGGGGAGGACAGGAGGGAGAGATTCTGGCCCGAATTTCATCCAGTAGTCGGCGAAGATAAGAGGTTTAATTCATTTAGCATATGAACGCCCTCAGAAAGCGATTCCCATTATGGATACATCCAAAGGCACAAGGCGCAGGTCCCTCGTATTTACACTGGCACTTGTTATCATTTAACCGGATTATTCACGATGTGGATTTTGTAACATATCGGGGATTCTCCTTGTGCCGCTTTCTGTTTTGCCTCCCTCCCAGTACAAGACCCTGAGCTGGATCCGAGAAGGGCTCTCTCTCTCTCTCTCTCTCTCTCTCTCTCTCTCTCTCCTTCTTCTCTCCATCTCCCCTCCCACCGCTGCCCAAGGAGTTTGCATTGGTTGGATCACCTAGGCTTCTCAGGAAGAGCAGAAACAACAAGAACCCCGTTTGTGAGGCCTGCTAGTAACTTTTCCCCACAGCAAAATTTATTATTAAACAATATTTTTAAAAAGCACAGCACAGTTTATACAATTACTTGTTAAGCAAACTCAGCTCAGATTGAAATGGCACAGCCTGCCTTTTATCTTATTTGAAAATTTTAATAAAGTGCCTCCAATCTCTCCAGAGAGAAAATCCCAGCTCCTTAGGCAAAACTCTTGTCCACCTTAATCACAGCTATCCTGCGATCACCTCCCTGAATTCCATGTAGAGGCAGTAAAAAATGCAGGAGGCTGCATTGCCCATCTGGTTAATTAGGTTAAAACGTGGGGCTGACACAAACTTTAAACAACAGCTTAGTAGAGCTGTTCGAAGGCAATGCTACGGCAAATATTTGTATATGAAACACCAACGTAGAAAACATTGGTGCAACAGTATCGGAGCCAGAAAACTTGAAAAACAAAACATGCCCCCACCTCAATTTGTTCCTATTTTTCAGTCAACGTTCGTCAGAAAGCTAAACATAAACTATGTAAAAGTAGATTTACAGTTCAATCCTACACTCAGAATGAAACCAGACTGTATGACTTACTCCCAAGTAAATGTGCATAGTATTGCGGCCTTATTTAGTTTTGCACAGATGTTATGTCTAAAAATAATAGCTATGAAGTTATGCCATAAAAACATTCATGAGAAATATCAAGATTATTATTATTATTATTATTTTTAAAAAGGTTTTGTAAGAAAAGGAGACCACCAGAGTTATGGTAAGAAAGATCCAGCTTTATTGAAAATTTATACATAACTCAGTATTGTAATAAATAAATGTAACAGTTTCCACAAAAATGAGTGGGATGCTAGTGAAGGATATATTAACTTGCAAGGGGATTTTGCAGATAATGGCAAGACAGGCCCCCGATGGATACACAATAAATATTAACAGCATTGTGGAGCCAGAATGCAGAGGTTGAACAAAATGAAGAGAAGGGAGCTAAACTAAGAGGTAAATAAATAATTAATAAAAATGGAATTGCCTCTAAAGATGATTTTTTTTGTAAACTGATCACACTTCAGTCGGTCTCATCATTACAATCACTTATTCAGATCACAAGGCTTTTGAAAGGTATAGGTTAAAAAACCTTCTCTCTGAGCACATCAAAAAGTCTTAAATTTATAATTAAAATAAAAATGTGAAACTGCTGCTGAAATAAACATTGGTAAATATAGCGCATCGTAATAAATGGTCTGAGTATAATCTAGCTAAACAATTTTAGGTAGCATATTAAGTATTACACACAACAGGACTGGATGAAATCATTCAAAATTATTTTTGTCTTCTCCCCCTCTGCAGTATTATTACATAAAAGAATGTATTTGAAAGTTATTTCAACAAAAGATTAAAAAGCCAGGGTGTCTCCCCTTCTTAAACAACCCAGGTGTTGCCACAACATTTGAATGCAGACTTATTTAAAAACATGTAAAATTTTTGTCTAAGTCTGCAAGTAAATCGGGGAGAAAGGTGATTTTGAAGGAATATTGCTTGAATCGGAACATGTGGGGTGAGGGAATAAGAAAACAATTTGGGGTAAAGCTGGTCTAGTCAAATGGAAGGTTTAAGCATTTTCTGAAGTTTATTATTTGAGATTTTGTCTTTTTAGTCTTGTGTCAGTATTTCCAAAATGTAAGAAGGGTTAAGCTATAAAACACAACAGTATCTTGCCCCATGAAAGCTAGTCACTGAAGGAGACATTTCTCTTCTTTCTTGGCCATCTTTCCTTTGTTTTGCTCTAAGGTCCTTTCCAAATGCTCATCTTCCTCTTCGGCCCTGGGAAACCAAACACAATTGTCATCAGTTTCCCTAATAAAGCTCTACTTCACACGTCAATGCAATAGGTATTGCACAGAACCTCTCAGAAACTCAAGTCCCAACTACTATTCACTTAAGGGACCCTGGGCAGTGGGAAAGGGAAGGGAGGGGTTGCCATCTGACTGGATGGGTAGGAGCTCAGAGGACAGTCATTACTGGAACCTAGGACTGCACAGAATTTCTACAAATTGAAGTGCTTTAGCACTGGATTGTTGACTTTTCTTCAAAGTTTCCTTTCTTGAATGGTATGAGATGAAACAAGGCTAGCATGCAGGAAAAGCACACTCCCGTTAGAGATGTTGGCCAAGATACAAAACTTACTGTTTTTCTTGAGCATCTAAATCTCTGACCAGTGCATCACGTTTATTAACAAGAATAACAAGCTCATCGAGCAAAAGCTGCTCTCTCCTCTTCTGGGCTTCGGTCTTTTGCCAGTCTGAAAAGAAAAGAAAGAAATCCAGAACTGCGTGCTTTGAAAGCTTAACTTACGTATGATCTAAACAAATCAGTGCCAGATCATTGGCCTCCACAATAAAGCCTCTTCCTTTGTAGGGACCAATAAGGGTCATTTCATTTCACATTCCTATGGATTTGTGTAACTTTAAACTGCCGAGACTCTCAGTTGATGACTTCAGGTTATAGCTTGATAGGGAAGGGTGGGAAGATGGATAAATCGGACCCAATAATTTTATGTTTTCCAACATTAGAGTCTAGGGCATATTAAAAAATGTTCCAATTGTATGAAAACACACTAGTGTGGAGTGAATGGAATCAATTTTCTAGCTCCCAGTTTGGAAATTAGGAAACTTGATGATTTGCTTTGCCCATTTTGCATATCAGTTTGTCTAGGCAAAAAAAAACCCAACCCACACAGTGTGTGCATATGTATGTATGTATGTATGTATGTATGTAGGAATCATACAGGAAAAATTACAGGAATTGAAACAGGAAAAATTACAGACAAAAAGCCAGCTAAAGCAAATAGAAAAACACTTTTCTTAATCTCACTGTAACCTGCTCTCCCCTCCAAATAGCCTATTCTTTGCTAATTTCTTTCTTGCTACATCTTAGCTGTTGGAAATGTCTCACACTGGGCACCAGATGCTTCAGAATAACTTTAAAAGTAAGTATCAGATAATCAGCATTTTTCTTTGAGGTAAAAACACATCTGCTAGACAGTATTACACAGCTTCTTCCATAGTTGTTCAGACTGTTTGGCAGCTTGCGTAATAGCTGAATCTTAGGCCTTTATCTAGGAAACAATTCCAAATTTGGTTGTTGTTGAAGTTTTTTTTAAAAAAGGTGGAGTACAGATCTACACTCATTTCTTTCACTTCTTCAGTTTTGCTTTAGTTTGTTATTCAAAGCTGCTGCAGAAAGAGGGAGGCTCTCTCATACAGGTATTTCCTTTTGGTGTTGTATTGTCTCTTACTTTTTATAAGGCAGTGTTTCATTAAAAAGGGCACATTTAACACTGGAGCCCTCCTCAAGCTCTGAACCAACTGCTCTCCAGGCCAGACTGCAAGGGCCTGCACCTGTCAATCAACCTCCAGTCTGCCCCGCCTCCCTCATTAGGAAGGTAAACAATGAAAAGAAGGAGAAATAGATGATGAAGGAGATAGCAGAACAAATGAGAGGGAAACAGGACACTGGCTTTAAAAGAAAACTCCATCACTTCTGACTCATGTGGTGTCCTCTCCTCAATCAACTTTCTAAAAAACAACAACCAACAACACAAAAAACCAGAGGCAAGACAGTGCAACCCTTTCGGATTTCTCTCTCCTCTCTCCATTGCCCTGGGCAATCATGTTAAAACTCACATGGCTGGTGCTTATTCAGATAAACCTAACAATGCACACCAATGGTTACCATGTGAATCTTCACAAACCACACAAGAATGTGCTGGTTCAAATCCCCCTGACCCCCCTCCAAAGCAAAATTTATTCAAGGCAGCAAACTGTTCAGAAGCTTTATGAAAGCAAGTGGTGCTAGAGTGAATTCAGTCTTGTATTTACAAATTAAAAATGAGATGCAGGCTCATCCAATAAAGGTTAGAACAGCAGTAAAAAGCCATTCCTTAAATTGCCTCCCCAATATACACAGTATATGCAGACTAACAGTGACATAGAGGAAATATACTCCCTCACACACAGCTGCAGAAAACAACAAATCTATCTGTAAAAACTACATCCTGGACACTGTGTTTACATGAAAGGACTCCAACAAAGTTTTCAGCATATTTTTGTTGTTGCCACTACTGTATTTATTTAATAACAGCATTTACAGGCTGCCCAGTAGCAGATGATTTCTACTAGTAATGATATACCTACATTTCAACAACAATAGTTAGCACCAAAAGTCTGAAAGGCACCAACTCCCTCTGCTTTCAAAAATATGCCTAATTTCTTAGCTGTTCATAATTTGTTGAGATCTTACACTTGAATGCATGTATTCAGAGTGGCAAAATAAAGCAAAAGCACGTGTCATTTATGGCTTAAATATAACAATTCTCCAAAAACAATACGATACAATTCTCTAAGAGTCCCAAACATATTGTTTGAAATAAATTTCTTTTATAGGGCAAATGATCCCATGATACTTGGGCTGCAACCCTACACACACTTAGTAAGGTGTGAGCCCTATTGAACTCAGTGGGATTTCTAAATCCACATGCACAGGATTGTACTGCTAAGGTTTGCTAATTAAAATAGTAAACAACCAGACATGAATGCTCATTTCCTATTTCCAAAATTTAAAAAGTCAAGAAACTTAACCACTATTATATGTAGGAGCAACCTTACTTATATCAGTTCATGTGAAGGCTATTTAATGTAGTGCAAGTAGATATACGTATTGGCCAACAAAGTCCTCTAGTCCTCAATCTTTTTTTATTCTGGTCTAGTCTGTGAATAATAATGGCAGTAATCCTTCTGATTACGTTTTCTATTATACCCAAAGATTCAAAATAAAAGAAGACTGTAAGTTCTGTTGTTTCCAATGGGACTTTTTAAAAAAGTAAAAGCTACGAATCACAGCCTCCAGTAACTTTTGCTCCCACCTAAACACATTTATTAGGAAATAGTTGAACTCATTTAGTCTTGGAGTGCTCCAGTTACACGTTCTGAAGTTTGGAAATTAAAGAAAATCATTCACTGCACCACCTGACTACAGCAAGCAAGCAAACCCATATGAAGCTTGTTCTGTAAAGTAAGTTAAGATTTAGTTAAATTCAAAAAGCAGACCGGTCTCCACAAAGGAAATGGTTTTTGAAACTTAGAGCAGTTTGTTATATGCTGCAGACACCAGCCATTTAAAGAAAGAAACAGCCACCAAAATTTTCACTGGGTGAAAGCAAGCTGCTTATGTGAATCTAAAGAGTTATTTGGAGCCTAATATGCTGACATTCTTATATGGTGAACAAAAGCAAGATGCATAGAAATTATATTAATCACAGGCTTTTTCTTAACAAAAAAACTTGCTCTGGTCGTTTATTATCTGCAGCTCAGCTAGACCCAACACGCATTACTTTGTTAAGAAATGGTTTTAGAGCTGCCATTCTAAGGAAGTTCCCTTGAAATCAATGTGATTACTCCCATAAGCATGGGTTTAAGGACCAGTATATAGATTGGCTTAAATCTAAGTACTGGGGAACATTGTTTCTTCTGTCACTGGCAAAAACAAATTTTTAAAAGAAGGATATAGATTTCAAAATTTTATACAGAATAAAAACCTGCAAAAACTAAAGTATGCAGGGCTTCTTTTTCTGAATCAGTTACTATTTATTTTCTTTAAAAGGAGATAATTAGTTTGGGAAAAGAAAACACATATTGGTATTCTAGCAGAAATATACTCCAGTATATTGAAAATGACCGAAGTTCTATAATAAAAATTCCTTAAATCTTGTCACTATAAAATAAGCCTTGCAACTTTTGATGAAAATTAACACTCGTTTTGTAAAGAGCACATTGGGGGATTGCAGTCAAAGCCTTATCTTTAGTTCCAGTCAACTAGCAATCCTGAAAGAGTTTGCATCATCATCAGAGGAAGCCATTTGATAGGATTCTACTGCTGAACCTAATCAATCTATGGAATACTGTGGCAGCGCCGTGTAACAAAGCTAAAATAGATTTACAAATGGGGTTTTAGGGGATAAGCTCCTCCACAGGATTACATATTGATTTTAAATATAAAAGCTTATCATATAAACCATAACTACAAAAATAGTGAACCTATGCATAAATCCTTTTAAGAAGAGCACCCACTTCAAACTCGAAGCCAAGAATGAATCAAGATGTACACATTTCTAAAGGAGATCTATTTGTTGGGTAGAAAAATGAACACACGCCACTCCTAAGGTGTGTAAAACATGAACTTCAGCTGTTCTAAGGAGGCATTAAATTTTAACAAGTGGCGCAATGCATGCAAGAAGGTGGCTGGAACCCAAAGCTCCTCAATACTCAGCTGGTGACTACTCTATGTTTATACTTTGTTTTCATGAGACAGCCTTATTCTGCATTGGTTTTCGGGTCCCTTTAGCTTCACAATAAGATATTTGAGGGGGCTAGCCAGTCAACCTCAAAGAGCTATTTTGGTGATTAAAAATGGGGTGAGGCATGGGGGGGAATAAACAGTTTCACCAGCACTAGGTACCTCCGTTGCTAGGATCGGGGCTGAGATTTATCTGCCCCCCCCCAATATTTTATTCAAGTTGGTGCTCCTGATCATCAAGAAATATGTGCTGTCGTTTTCTTTCAACACGTAACCAGATTATATGTTGACCTGTGGCTTATGCTGGGATGGCAGTACTGCTTGTAAAAATAAGAATATATGGCCAAAAGAAAACCAGAATGTGGTTGGTCAGGCCTGTATTCTGTGTGAAAAGCTTCAACACCCCAAAATGATGTTCTATTGCAAACGTCTCCATTTTAATCACTGGCTTACAGGTTCACTGAGACTGCAATCCTATGTACACTCACTTGGAAGTAAGCCACAACTGGATTCAATGGGGTTGTGTGATTGTGTGTGACTGGAGTTGGTTTAAGACTGTGAATGCATCCCACAGAAACCAAACCTGTCCTTGGATATACATCTGATTATATCTGCCATTCAGATAAGTTTCCATCTATATCCATAGAGTGGGGTGCAAAATTCCATGGAAATAAGGCATTCCCTGCCTCCAGTGTTTCTCTCTGTTAGTTGTGTTACAGGGTTGAATGAAGAAAACATGTAATCAGCATCTCAGGAATTGCTAAGACTTGTTTCAGTTTAGGGTGAAATGCACCAAAAGCACAAAGTTGCACAGCTGCCTCTCTCCTTACACTCTACCCCAGTCCCGCAGAAAGCAAACTCCTTGGGACCGTGGGGCTTCGGTCCCCACAATAAAATATTTGAGGGGGCCAGGCCTCCACAAAGTTGATGGGCATTCCCATTCAAATGGTGTATGTGCACAGTGTCATTTGATCAATTATGTGGGCTTACCTGGGCCCCCACAATATTTTATTCAAGTTGCCCTGTCCCTCGGATCAATGGATGAAACCATCTGTTGATGGCGCCACATGCCACGGCAATAAAGCATGCTGTGACTTGAGCAGGTGCTTTTAGTGCTGTGGCACCAGTTCTCTGAAATTTCTTCCCTTAGAAGTGAAACAAGCCCCAATTTTGTGGTTTCAATGTTTGTTGAAGATGTTGCTTAAAACTAGTGTATTTTATTTCTGGAGTTTCAAATTCTTGTTGGCTTTTTTGTTTTAACACTGTTAAAACACCTGTGTTGTATTTTATATTCTATTTATGTATCTAACTTTTTATATTGGTTTAATGTTTAATTGTACAGTACTGTGTTTCATATTTTTATATTTTATTGTCAGGTAGAGTTGGTTTTTACTCATCACTTTATGGAGAAGTGCCTCAAAAAGTGGGGTATGCCGTTTAAAAGAAAAAATATAAAAATAGTGTATGGAGTGATAAGCCAAACCATGGCTTAGCGTGAGTGAGCAAGCAAGCAAGCAGGCAGATACTCCAGTCCTACTGCTTCTTTGCTGCCTGGAGCCATGGTTTGGCTTAGCTTCAAACAAACTATGAGCTGTAGACAAGGTTTCTTCTTGGCTTACTGCTTATGGTTTGTTTGTTTGTTTGTTTGTTTGGTGTGTGTGTGTTTTTTTGGGGGGGGAGTACAAATCAGATATAATGCTAAATCATAGCTTAGTTCTGGGGATCATGGCAGCAGCAGAACTGGAGGATGAGCAAAGTGGCTGCAATTTTTGAAGGGACCACCTTTGTTTATGCTTGTGCAACTGGGCCAATGTTACATTTATGCTGCAGATGGACAACCCACTTAATATATTCAGAACAGCACCATTAACCTGTTAAACTAGATCAGGGGTCAGCAACCTAAGGCCCATGGGCCCCAAGCGGCCCACGGGGGTTGTTTTATCGGCCCCCAAACCGAGCCACCCTCTTGGCAAGTCCTCGCGCGCTGCGCTAAACCGAAACAGCGCAGCATGGGGACTTGCTTCTGCAGTGCCAGAAATCGTGTCTGTGTAGATGCAGACACCGGAAATCGCAGGTGCGCCCACTCATGCGCCCCCACCCACAATCCAGCCCACGGAGGGGGCTCCGCGGCAGTGAACTGGGCCAGGCAAGGTAAGGCTTGCTGACCCCTGAAATAAATGAAACATAACTAAGAGTAACTTAAGAGGATCTTGGTGGCAGAAGGGGAGTGGGTAACTTTGAGAATCTAGCAGTTAATATAAATAACATTTAAATGTTAAGGCATAAACAACAACACTATTCAACTTTTGAAAAGCCCTCCAGATGTTGTTGCTGATGTCATTATTAATACCAATTATTGTAATGATGTCTCTAGTACATATTTTTAAAAAGAAAAATATGTTTTGCTGTTTTCAGGCCTGCATAAACCTGCTTCATGTCCTTCAAAAGCTAACTCAGTGTTACTTCACACTTTTACTTAAGAAGCCCCCAAACTTCAAAGACTTAGAAGTCTCCCAAAAGACACCTTCTAGATGCCTGGGCCCAAAGTTTTATTTTCTTTTGAACATTTTGTTATTGTTGCTGTCAAATCCCTCTTTAAAAAGCAATAAACATGTTAAGGGTTTATATTTTTTCAGGATTCCTGTAATTCTTGAGTTTTGTCAAAAAGCTACAAAGAGGTGGATTAGAAAGCTACCTGACACCTCACGCCTTTTCCTCCCAAACTCATGCTTTCAGTGATGTCTCTAAACTAATTAGAATTGATTCATTATGGATCAGGTACCTTATCAGGTGAAGAAAGAAATTACCATGGACAGTCAAAGGGTTAAGAGGTCAATACAGAATAGCAAAATCAATTTGCATTGATTAGACAAAAGGTCCATTTTACAGAGCCCAGAGGATTAACTTTTAAGCAAACATCTTTGAACTGTAAAGGCAGAATATGTGGCTGCAAACTATAAGTAGAACAGCTTTATAAAGAAACCTAGCATATTTAAATAACAAAATAAGGTAAAGCAGTAGTTTAACCTATCTGGATGTTTACTTTTATTATAAATCATCCTTTGGATTATTGTACAGCATTAGGAAGAGGAGACCATTGTTTATCCCTTATGTCAATCTGCTCATGAGTATTCATTCCAGTGAAGTGAGTGGCTGCTTAGAAAGATACAGAGAATCAAGAAAATATACGTGCAAAGGGTTGCACTAATGCTGTCATTTTCTCTGAAAAAAATGTTTTACTTGACATGTGCATGATATTTTTATAATGAAGATGGGTGGGGTCTATTTTTTCTATGGAAGTTGCGAACAAATATTTAAGATGTAAAAATAATTAATCTGATGTGTCATTTCTTCTATTTTTGCACTGAGGCAAAACGAGTGCTGTGTGTCAGAGCTTATGCTACTTAAAGAAATAAATAAACGAAAAGTTCCAAATTGATCTAGAAGGGGTCACACAGCATTTTTGGTTTGCATCTAAAAGCAGAATACTTTCACAGACAGAAGCCTAAACATTCAAAACATTTCTTACCTTCAATGGCAAGCATTGCTCTCAGCTCCCTGTTCAACAGTTCGTACCGCCTCTCTAGGTCATGTTCCTTTTCCCTAGGCAAGTTGCAAAAGTTCATCAATATGTTAATTACTAAATCATTAAACGTTTAAAAGAACCTTTAATTTACATTGATTTTTTGGACTCAGTTAGGACTATAGGTTTAAGCTACTCTAAATAAATGATACACGAGAACAAAGGATTAAGAAGTAGCATTGCTGGATGAACGTTCAGCAAAGGCCTGGATGGTGCTGAGGAGGCTGGGTCTCCTTGTGGGTCGCTGGGCAAGAGAAGCAGAGCAGGAAAATCCTGGGTGCATTCCTAAGGTGGTCTGAGGAGCAGGGGAGAGCTCGATCCCTATATTTAAGGGACAAGCTGACTTCCCTCCAGCGGTTCTCAACCTGTGGGTCCCCAGATGTTGCTGGACTACAACTCCCATCTTCCCTGAGCCCTGGCCTTGCTAGCTAGGGGTGATGGGAGTTGTAGTTCAACAACATCTGGGGACCCACAGGTTGAGAAAGGCTGCAACTCTGTTTGCAGCAGCCCCCACCCTCACTCCCTCCCCGTGTGCTTCAGGGTTGCCACTAGGGGGCCAGGCAGGAATTTTCCCCAGTCTGCATTTTGGATCACAGGTTGGTTTTTTGTCTACTTCACAATGAATATTTTATTTATTTGTTTATTGAATTTATATACCGCCCTATACCCAGAGGTATCAGGGTGGTTCACAGGACAAAATCAAAAAATAAAATCACAATATATATAATCAAACAACAACAACAACCCAATAGCAGGACAGAATGCTAGATGGACTGCTGCGTTGTTTAATTAGGCTAATCTTCTGGATTTGGTCATTTTTGGCAGTTTAGGTGAGGGAAAAGAAATAGTTTGGTTTAGCCTGGTGACATCCTTTAGGCACCTTTCAGTTGATGGACTGGCTCCAAGGCTCACTTATCGGACTCTGCAGTTTAGAGGGCAAGACTCCCTTATCCACCTGGGATTCTGCGGTCCTAGAGGGTGGGGACTAGGGAGCCATGTCCTAATTCAGAGCTTTCCAAAGTGTGTGCCGCGACATGTTAGTGTGTCGGCTGCAATGTGTAGGTGTGTCCTTCTGGATCTGGAAAGGGGTTAGTTTAACCTCTGGTTTGCTAGTAAAACTGAATTACTGTGTTGTGAAATGATGCATGTCTAAAATGTGTGTCACAGCATTAAAAGTTTGGAAAGCTCTGTAGGCAAGGGTAAGTCGTCCAATGGCTATAGTTATACAGTTACGGTAGTTTCCGCCCCACAGTCATCCTCCTCTGCTAATTTCAATTTAAGGTCTAAATAAAAGCAGCCTGTTCAACCCTAGCTTATGTGTCCGCCTCTTCATTTGCCTATAGGGATGCAGGTCCATTTACTTTAAAGGATTTTCTTCTACTCTCGAACATCATTGCTCCATAGGACATAATACGTTGTCTTCAGAGTTAACAGATGAATGGGGGCATTAGATGTAAAATAATATGCTGAAGTAGAAGGAACCACGTATATTAATACTCAGAGTTCAAATGTGGAATTGGGTTCACCAGATGTGGTTCTGCAGCCTTCTACCACTGAATGCTTTGTCCTCAGAGAAGAGTGGTCCACTTATTCTGCAGCCACAGGCAATCTGGCTGCATATCTGTCTGTAAGGAGCAAGGCTTCTGGGCCAGAGGGTGGTCTCAGCACCACTCTTTTTAGAAATAAGTAAGTTAATATTGACAGTAAACAATAAATACTGAAGAACTGTAGAAAGTGTCATAATAGCCCTGGCAACCTCAAAGACAAATGCCAAAAGGAGCAATCTACATAATACTGCTCTACAGCAATACACATTTATTCCTACGCGCCTTGAACAGGATCCATACTCAGTGGAATGTGCATCTGGAAACCATCAACCTTTCCTTATTTCTTGAAAGGGTCTCAGAAATCTTCAGAATGGGATTGCTCTCCCTTGCCTGTGGTGACATAGCTTCATCTGAAGTTCACTAAAGTCTTCTTCCACTCCTTATCCCTGGTCAGCTATTGGGTCAAGGCCCATTGTCCCTTTTTTAATGCCATCCACAGGCAGTGGTACTGGGTGCTAGGCAGTTCAGATGATCATTTGGACCATGATTATGAAGCTGAGGAAAAGTGTTGGGGCTGAGTGTTCCTCCTTAGCCCTAGATCATATACTGGCTTGTTAACTGACAGTTGCCTGCTTTGGACATAGTGCAGAACTTTTTGGGGAAACTAAGATGCAAAGTGGGAAAGAAGGAACAGTTTGTCCCATGCTGTTTTTTTTTGTGCCTGCACAACTATCCAGACCAAAGCAGCATATGTGCCTGCTGTGAGAACAGAAGATACCTGGGAGCCACAACCAGAGAGAGAAGGCAATATTGGGCTGGCTGGAAATATTTGATATAGGATGGTTTCTTATATTCTTTCTTATATTCTTTGTAATGTGTGAACAGAAACTTTATGTTTACCTCTCAGCCACATTCCCTGCACTAGCCTGAATAGACTGTTTCTACATCTGGCAGAGGCTAGATAAAAAGGCCCACTTCAGAGATTACAAGGAAGGACAGAAGATGCAAGTCACTTGCACTCCTTGCTCCCTGAAGCCATTTCTAAAAAGCACACTTTCCCAGATTTTCACATTTCTAGCACGCAATTTAATTTAAGTGCATGTCATTTGCATATTACTCTAATGCAATTTATTCATTAGCTCTCAGTAACATAAAAAAAATAGGAAATTTATCTGCCGTCCATTGTCCCCTCCCCTCTTTTTCCACACACCATAATCCTATTGATTCAGCCTATAGGTGATACTGCACAAGTGATACTACACAGTGTTATTCTGCTTGTAAGTAGTTTCCCCCTTCAATTCAGTGGTGATCTGTGTGTGAATTACATCCGGGTCTCTAACATGCAAAGGCATCTGTAAATCTTTTGATTAAGGCTGAATATGCAGGTCCTGGAACCATTCATTTTCATGTTCTAAATTTAGGATCAGGCCATTACGCTTACAAAATTGTGTGCTTCAAAAGTTTCTGACTGAAATGCTGGAAAATCTGTTGTCCTACAGAAAGAAAGCAGAAAGGTTCAACAGTTTTGGCCAATCAGTATATATACTCACAGCAGGGAGAGTTGATTCATCCTCCTTATTAAGGCATTCTTCTTATTGACCAACATGAACCATTCTTGCATCATAGCTTCTTCTTCCTCAGTGTTTCTCCCTGTTTTAAAAAACACATACAAACTTACGCAAGAAGATTAACACAGAGATAAACCTGAACTTTTTCTCTCATAGGTTATCTAGATGATAACAACACTATAAATATGAAATACATATTTATAGATTTCTGGGGAGGGGGATGCAATATAGTTGTTAGTGCCCAAAGAGCCATGAGCAGCCTGACACACATGCACAAGGACCTCTTAATGTCCTTTGCTCTGCAGTGCTCCACAAGCCCTCAAGAGCTGCTCTCAAAGCCAGAGAGGGCATACTGCTGGAGGGGGAAACGGTCTCCGTGCACATGCAACAGACCTCTTGGTTCTGGCTCAGAGGTGAACATTGTTTTCAAAAGCTATTACGGATGTTACTTTTCCATGAAAATATCTGCCAAACCCAAGTGTCAAAATGGTCAGAGATTAGTCTAATGGGAGAAGCATTAATACTCAATATACTAATAAGCCTCCCAGAAGCCTTTGTGTTATTCTAATCAATTTAAGTTTTTATCTGATTTTTTATGTGCAGAAAATTCAAAATCAGAGTCACTTGTGAAAACAAAGGCATGCTAAGTCTTCAACCTGGTTTGAGGCAGTTCTAACTGACAAGTATAAATTATTTCCTCACTTCTAGAAAACTCACCCAATCATTCTTACATGCAAATGTATGCCTACAATGAACTTTTAGTGTACTAGAGGTGATATTTTTACCATCCTAATTTTAGTTTTGAGAATGCTTGCAACATGGTGGAAATGGTTGTAGTAAATAATGATAAATAAATAACTGTGTTTAACAGAGAAATCCTAGTGAAATGAGATTTACTCTTAGGTCAGATTGTACAGGATTATTGTCTATGGTATGTCACACATATGATTTTTAAGTGCTTGTGAAATAGCCCAGCATTAATATTCACACTGCAGACTGCAATGAAGACTGAGAGAACAGTGGCTTATCTAAAACTATCTAATGACCTGAACCCAGCACTCTCTACCACAAGTTCTTAATCATGACATTCATCAAGATTGTTTTGGTCGGAATTTTGCAATCTAAACATGTGGAACTCAAAACTCCCAAAGTAATTTGCCAACAGATTTCTCTTTTGTAACAGAATGATGAGGTAACAGAAGTGGGAGGTAAGCACTTGAGTAGGAATCCTTTAACAAGCACATATAGAAAGTGGTGATGTCACACTGCTTCTCTGAACAGGCATGAAGGTGGCAAAAGCCTATGTGGAAACCGATTTTTAAGTTGTACCTGTATATTGGCAAAAGTGACTTTTATTATTAGTGTTTTTTAATAAAAAAAACCCACACCACATGTTTATTTTAAATTAACTACAATTCAAAATAAATTCATTTTACTGTGAAATATTTAAGGGCTTCACAACTTCATAAGAGCTGAAGCTGGTAAAACCTGTGTGGTGGCCTTATTCCATTACGGAGGAGAAGTGGGGTCCAGTTGAACCAGTGAAGAGTCACTGTATGAAGGATTTCCCGCAGGAGTTTCCTTCTCCTATTGCACAAGGTGGGGGTGAATGTACGAAATTCACACATGATTGCTGACAGTCCCAGTTAAATTATGTGAATGGTAAAAACTAAGATGTACTTCCCCAGTTTGGGGATATATGCAAATCAATACTGACAAGGACGTAAAGGTGCCTGCTAATATTCACTGGTGCATCTCCAATTTTGGGGAAGTGGGATGCTCACAGAATTAATTGACTAATTCATTTGGGTTGTCCTAACACTGAATGCCAACAGTCAGCAAAATTTGGAAGTGCTTTGTAACATCTGTACTAGATTAGCAAGAGAAATGTCTTGGACTTCTCAACAGTCCTTAACCTATTGTAACATATGTAGTTCTCAAGATTAAAATGGAAGGAGACAAAATAGCTAATCAAGTTTTAAGACTCCTTCTATAATTAAAATTCATGTGCCGCAAAAGTATGTTGGCTAGTTATAAATAATTGTTCTGGGTTACTTATTCTTCCTTTGATATTGACTCACTCTGTGATCTCGTAGACGAATCTCTCTCTGTATCTCAGCTTCCCATCTGAAGTGTAACATTTTGACACTTGTGCAAGTGCTAATTGATGTTTACTATGTGTCCTGCAATCATCTAATGAAATGTGTTATATAAAAGTAGCTATATGCATTTGACACAGTTCTCCCTCAATAAAAGCTAAAACCAATGTATGACAAAAATTATTTGCTCTGA